ACTCGAGGACTCGGAAAGGGTACAAGTGTTATAACCCAAAATTTCATAAATCGTTTGTGTGCTCCGATGTCACCTTCTTTGAATCAGTTCCATTTTTCTCAGATGTCGGGGTCTCTTCTCCCTCTATGGTTCCTCTTCCTATACCGGTTGTGGACCCTCTTCCTGTAGCTCCCATTCCTACTGCAAATGCACATCATATGCCTGTTACTATAGAGAGGCCGCCAGTTACTCAAGTGTATACCCACAGAAGTGCTTCGGATCTTGATCTCCCTATTGCCTTGACAACTATGCACCATAGGGTGTTTCATTATGTAGATCACTGCCTAGGCAAGGCCTTGACAATTATTGGAGAAAACTTCACGTCTCAATAATCTCTACTTAGATATTCAGACAAATGGACTATCTTTGAAGGTCATATTAGAAAGTCATAAGTGATAGTGGGGGTGATGGGGAGGGAGGAGAAATTTGCTAAACTCACTGTATATGTAGATTGGGACTTTGGGAATTTTATGCATTAAAGCTCAAAACGTTTGTCTAGAAATAAGATTTAGATGATCCATCACAGATATATTTCAGGTAAAATGATTGATCTTCATTCTATGTCAAGATTATAAAGGTTAAAATTTTCATAAGAAAAACTTCAAAATTTTAAAACAAGACAGAGTTTTCCCAATCAGATAATGGAAGTTCATATTTCAGTCAATCAGATAACAACAAATTCCAACTTACGCTTCAAGGTCTTAATCTCTTCCCATGTAAGGTTGAAGGTAAAAATTCCTGGGATTGGCTGAATCTGTCTTATGGTAGTGGAACGAGAGTTAAAATCTGTTTGAACAACATTTGTGCCATCCATAAGATTTATAGAGCCTAAACATATAGAAACCCCGTCCTGTGTCATTTGAACAGCACAGTCAATGACATCAGCACCATCATCAAAAGCTTGCTTATATGCAATATCTGTAGAACTAGGGTAGATTCCACTAGCCCCATTATGTGAGATAACAAGCGGTGCTGTAAGACAAACAAAATAGACAAATAAGTTGATAGTGATATCCTTTTGTCATGCTTTTGAAAGAAAGACCAACGAGTTTCAGAAAGAAGCCAATATAATACTGGCAACATACCTTTTCCAGAACTATTTGTGCTTAGGTGAGCAAAGCAATCTGCAGAAGTGGTGGGAAGCAATTAATATCCTGAAGAAAAGAGTTTGCTGAAACTGAACAAGTGATATGGATGAATTGGACAAATAGCAGAAGTTATCAATGTTAAATGATACACAGATAAAATGCAATTGTAAATTGTAATTAAGGATAGTTTTACTTATTCTTTATTCTTATACAATCAATCAGCATGTAATCCAGGGAGTGGGATCCATATTTTTACATACTCGAAGATTAGCTGTATTGCTGAATTCAGACAAATCAGTTTAGCCTTTTGATTGAGCTACCACCATAAGTCAAAGATGTAATGCCTTGAACCATTAGAAACTCCAAAGATATTGAAGTATAATAGCTTACTAGTAGAAACAAGTTCACTGTTAATCTATCTGCTGTCACAACCTCAAATGTCTATAACAAAACCTTTGATGCTTAGATTAAGATTTTTGTATTTTTCTTTTGGAGGAAGGTGTTACAAACGTTTACCAACATATACTTTTTTTTTATCACCACTTGGATCAGAATTTCTATTTGAATGGTTACAAAATTGTTGTGACACAACTCCCTCATGTTGAATTACTCATTGGGAAAAAAAAGGTTTCTCATAGTGAGTTTCCCCATTTTTGTTCTGACAATTGCAAACAATCTCTCCTATATCTCTCTTAGTTCTTGCAATGACAATAAAATGTACATAGAATTCCCATTCTTTTTAAATTGAAAAGACAAAGACATCTACTTTTTAATTCTATCACTGATGTGTCAATGTTTTCACTGGCTGGTTACAAGAAAGTGTTGTAACAGTCCATATGGGCTTCTAATTCAACCCACCTACGTGGTCCCATATCATTTTAAAAAAAGGATCTATATGGGCTTTCAGAATGTGCCCATTACTGGCCTTTCTTCTATTCAAAAGAAGAGCGTTATATAGCCAGCCTTCTTGGATGGGCTTAAATAGTCATTAACTATTAAATAATAGAAAGGCCTGCTTGGATCCTTAGATCAGCCCATTAATTGTATGCCACCTGGTGCATCTGAATAAAATACTTCCATCTTTACACTTGATCATCAAAAATTCTATTTAACAGTGTTGTACCTTGATTGGATTGACTCCTACAGTAAAAGATACACTTAGGTTCACAGGTGAGGCTCATTTTGTGAGGCATGTCTTTTGGTCAAAAAAAAAATTGATAAAATCTCATACAACATAATACACTCAATTAGACAATGAAGTTTTTATTATTTTGGGTAAGGCCCATTCAGGGTATCATATAGATGGTCTTCTTAATTACATCTCTACAACAATGAAGAGAAAATCCTTTGGTTTTAATTTAAAGAAACAAATAAAACTTTAGATATGTTAAGAAAGTATTCTTCTCTTTGAGAGGGTTATTGAACTGCCCACCTCTCTTAACCATAGAATATGTGGTCCTCAAGGGTCTCAAGTGAGTTCTTTTAGAGAGAGTAGTCCCTCATTTAGATAAGAGCTTGCATCTGCCGTGACCATGGTCAATGAATTAACCTTGAATATGATGTTTGAATAAGCAATTATTTTATTTTTTTATATGTAACTCTAAAATTATCTTTTTGAAACAGTAAGATAGAATACTTCATTAAAAAACAACCAAGATTACAAAGACTGCCCCTGTACAACGAGGGACAGTACAAGGATATACCCAGAATTAAAGCTTATACCAATAAAAAAATGCTGCTGATTTGGATGTGGAGGATTCATCAGGGTGTCAAGATGGAGGGGGGAAGGGATCAGGTGCTGATAGGTGGAAGAAAGGTCTCCAATTTATGTTGGTTGATTTGGAAGGATGTTGGTTGTAAGAGTAAAATGGGTTGGGCAATCAGCTTTGGCTGAGTGTCTAGCCAAGCAAGGGGTAGCCAGGGATCAATTGTATTCGGCACAGTTGTAGGTTGTTATTGCCTTGGAGAGTACGCAGCTCACACCTCTCCAAGAATACTTGTATCAGTTTTTTCTCATTAATTTAATATAAAGAATTACTTTACTTATCAAAAAAAGGGGGTTGTTGTTCTTAGGTTTTGGGAGTTTTTAGTTTTACAAAGGTGTTTTGATGGTTGTATATTTGTAGAGGTGTTTTTGAGGTGTTACCTTAACACCTCTTTGTATTCGTACTCAGTTCCTTTTTTATTTTAATAAAAATTTTCTTTTACTATTAAAAAAGAATGCTATTTCCAACATGCCCTGCATTTTGAATAGGTAATTTATTATATTGCACGTTGTATTTATGTTTTCTAGAGTTTAAACAATTTAGCCTTTTTTTTTATAAGCAACAAAGGGAACGTATTTATTAAACACCAGGCTGCAAGTACAGCCAGAAAAGTGTACAATGCTGGGACTCCCAAGAGGCCAACTGTTTGAACACTTTGACCCTTGAGTTTCAGTAGAGGAAGAAGAGAGAAGGAGAAAAGAAGAGAGAAGAGAAAAGAGAGAAGAGAGGAGAGAATATGAGAACCACGATCTGGTATAGGGAGAATAAATCCTCTCCCTAGCCGACCCAATCTTATATAGATATGATAAAAGTAAAATGACTGATATACCCCAACTTAAGTGTGGCGACAGTCACTTAAATTAAGACAAAACTGACAAAGCACAACTTAATAAGAATGTAAAAGACCATACCATTCCTGTTAAGTCGACTCTAACAAACCTAACCCTAAGTAACCACTAAACAGTTCTCTGTAATACACATTAACATCTTCTTTCAGTTCATTGACAATTGAGCTCTTACTGGTCACTAACCTTACCCAGGTAGAAAGTAGACTGCAATTCTCTTTGTTTGGTCAGCCTTGCCGGCTTGGAGGTCTCTTGTCATTGAAACACCATTAGTGATTCTATGTCTTGTTGGTTGACAGATTCACATTTGTTGTCAATTAATGTATTCACCTTCAGGGCCTCCATTCAAGTAAGTTTCTATATTCTGATTTCTGAAATTTGTTCTCAGTTCTCATGTCCCATTGTTGTCAATTCATCAGTTACACAGTCAAGGTTGTTTTGGTTGGGACTTGGGATTGGATTGAGAAGAGAACAATCAAATGAATACCAATTCGATTATTCAGGTAAGTTTTGTTCTTTTTTAACACAATTTTGATTTTTCTTCCACCGAAAATTGTTCAAACAGCCAACTGACCAATTAATGAAATCTTGCTTTTCCTCTTTAGTCTTTACTACTGGGAATTGGAATACTAAGTTCATTAGAAGGAAAACCTCAGGATGCCTTCTTTTTCTTTTTTTTTCTTTTTCTTCTCTTTTCTTTTCTTTTTTTTTTAATTAGGCAAATTTCAGTTGGTATGGAGGGCATCAGGGACATTGATAGACTTGTCCTTTCTTTCCATTTTTTCTATTATAAAGATGCTTTTAAATAACTGCAATTTCTGGGGCACAGAAACAGTAAGCATTATAGCTTCCCTTGCTCACTTTCAAGTTTCAACCTTTTTTATAGAACCAATCTGGTTTGCTTCCAATACCATTATTTTTTGAGAGAAAGGTAACTATCAATTTTCTGCCAACACCACTATCCATTGCATGATTATGTTGGTTATTATTTTCTTCCTCATTTACCTGCAAAAAAAAAATGAAAGTGATGGGAGTTTGGTGAGGGATTTTTATTAATAGAATTTTTTTAAAGAAATTGGAGGTTGAATACAAAGTGTTTTATATTCTGACTTCAGGAAACAAGAAGAAGATGACTTTGAGTTGGGTTAGGGTTGAGGAATTTTAGGTTTGGTTGGGTTAGGATTGAAAACAATGGGTTGAAGGTAGACTGGGTCAGGGTTAGCACTGGGGGTTTAACACCTCAGGTTGGGTTAGGGTTAGCCTCAACCAAACCTGGCTTGCACCCCTACTTACAAATAATGATATATGACACTAGTGCTAGTTACTACATTCTGTATCACATAGTTGCCACCATTCAACATGAATTTTTCTAACTGATGCACATTTTTAGCAGGAGTATTACTAGAAAAAAAATACTAGGTAAGATCTTACCTATGGCCTCTGATGGAGTAATAGGGAAGTCAGACAAGATGCCATCAACAGAGAATTTACCATTGTCGATGAATGAAAGACACTCCTTTATTGGATCATAACTGTAATTGTAGCTAAGAGGTACATCATTAGCAAAATCTGATGCAAAAACCTCAAGCCCTTCCCTATGAGCATTCAACACAACAGAGGTATGGGGTTGTAGATATAGATCAGTGTTCACAGGCCATATGTAATTCTTTGGAACAAGGATTGCAGAGGCAAACGTCTTGACAAAGGTAAGATTTTTCAATATTGAATCATAGGTCTGGTTAGTTGTAGGTTCAATATCATCAGCCCTTAGAAAGCGGAAGACCAGTTTCGTTGTGCTTTGCTTAAATCGTGCTGTAATACTCCTGAGAAAAGCTACTTCTGGTGATGAGATGTAACTAACAATTACACGTCTTGATACAGAAAGCACAAAGCTTCTCATACTCAAATTGTGCTGTGTAAAGAATGCATCATGCTGCAGAACAAATGTAAAAATAGAAACCAGGTTAATACACAGCATATACTTCAAGAATTTCTAACATTGAAATTTTCTTACATGTTACTTTTTATAAATACATCATACATGTATCATTTTGTAGAGTACAATGGCAGGACAGGATCCACATAGCTGATCCTCAATGTTTGTGATTAAGGCGGTGTTTGGAACCAATGCTGTTTACTGAGAGGCATTTTCTCAGAAAATGGTACCATTGCTGTTACTGCCACATAAGCATTTTTCAATGCCATGTCAGAATACTGTTGCGCGTTTTCTCAGACCACACCTTTCCTGATTTCCAAGGCATGGCCTGAGAAAACGTTTTTCGGAAAAATGCCTAACAAAACATCAGGTGTTTCAGAAAAAAAAATAATGGATTTCAGACGTGGTGCCGTTTTTCCGAAGAAACAGCATAGATGCCAAACACCTACCAAGAATGAGTTAGGTACAAGTAACTTTTTAATATATGGAACCTTGCTCCAATTCACTTTTAGAGAAAGGAGGGGAGGGGGGCTTCCCATCAACCCTTCAGAATTGGACTTTCAGAAAGGTTCATGAACAAATAAAAATGTCGTCATTTTAATGTAGTGTGAATGCTTCATTTTTGATACCTGTGTCATGTTTATTACATGGTTGTCAACTGTTCCAACTCTTGGCAAATGAGTTTCTCTTCACTCTTCAGTGCTTGGAGCAGTGTTACATGGACACTCCTAAATGGATAAAGAATCTATGCAAACACGTCTGATTACAACACTTAAAAGATTCATGAGGAACACTTCTTTCATGGTTTCCTCTTTCTCCTTCCTTGTCTGACAATAATAAACACCTATAACATGCTTATCAACAACAAGGATAAACTTCTAGATTTATGTACATGATGGCAGCATCCAAGATACAGATCTTTTTTGATAGTATATACTGATGTTGGGCATGTCCCTGATTCCATGGTTATTTATCTTGCCATGTCAGACTCCTATACATGCATTGGATGCTGACACCTACATCTTTGTTGATTCATGCAGTGTTGAGCACTATAAAAGGCCCTTTTCACCAATAATTGATTACATGCTGGATGATATGTATACTCGGTAAAAAAACTAATAATCTATATTTTTTTGTTGTTTTGCTTAGCTTGTTAGTTAGGATAAAACTAACAAACTTGGAAGTAGGAAAATATCATGGAAATGTACCCTATAAATTGCTGGACTTTTGGGGCATTTTTGTCAAAAACCACTGCCTAGGTGCCTAACTTCATCCTACTGCCTTGACAACTTGTTAAAATACAGTGTTTGTTCTCGGTTATTTTAGTCTTTTTCCCCCTCTTTTGGTTCTGTTTATTTGTCTCTAGCCTTAAGTCTCATAATCAGGGGTAATATTGTAATTCCTCCTTTCATTATGATTTAAACATATTGAGGCGGCAGCTCTCAAGAGAGAGAGAGAGAGAGGCTGAATAGCCCTATTCTGTTCATATTCTTCTTCTCTTCTTCCTCTCTGTTATCTCTTCCAGAACTCATTGCAGGTGTGTTTTTCTTCATTTATTTGATTAAACACAGGTCTGATAACATGGTATCAGAGCTTTGTTGATCGTCCAACTCGCCTACATCAGTGAAGGACGCCCAGGACTGAATTGGTTGAAGTTTTCAGCTCTTTAAAAGTGAAAGGGCAAGGAAAGACTGAAAAGGACTGATTGCCCAAGGGTTTAGGAGGCTTCAATGTCTCAAGTTGCATTGTTGGTTGGTTGGTTGATAGTGTATTAGGCTCCCTCTACTTGGCACTTGACAGTTCAAAGAGGGACTGTGAATGTGCAGGTTGGATGTTCGTTGTTTATGTTTGGTGGATTGGTCTTTGTGAAAGGTGAAGTTGGTTGACTCATAGAGGGGTTTCCAGTATTAAAGGGTTGTGGCTATGTTTTTTGATGCTTCCAGACCAATAGAGAAGTCGGTTGAGTGTTTTTATTGTCTCTGAAAGGTGTTCGACTTGGGAGAGTGTTGCAGAAATAATTTATTGTAACTGATGGCAGCTTCTGGTAGTGAAAACAGAACAAGTGTGATGGTGCAACCAGATTTCATGGCTGTACAGATGACGTCGGTTAAAATTAATGGTACAAATTATGTGCCATGGGAAAATCTGTTGAGGTGAATTTGACAGCTAGAGGAAAACTGAAGTAGATTAAAGAAAACAAACCGGACCCGGGGGTTACAGGGTATAACGATTGGATTCAGGAGAATGTGCAGATCATGACATGCCTTTGGAACAGTATGGAGCCTCATATTAGTGTGAACTTGATGTTCTTTGATACTGCGAAAGAAATTTGGGAACATGCCAAACAGTTGTATTCTGGACAAGATAATGTCACCAGAAAATATCAGTTGTACAAGGAATATTTTTAGTTGCAACAAGGTGATAAGAGTGTGGAGGAGTACTATGCTAGTTTAAAAAGTTTACGCAGTGAGTTGGATTCATACCAGCCCCTTTCGATTGATCTCAAAGTACAAAAACAACAGAGAGATCAGTTGGATGTGGCGAGATTTCTTTCTGGACTGAGAACTGAATTTTTGAACCGGTGCATGCCCAGATTCCAGGTAGCAATCAGAAGTTTTTTCCAGATTCAGAAGGGTTACAACCTCACATACATATAGTACTCTAGTATTAGAGAAGTCGGCTTTAGCTGCAATTAGAGGTGGTAGATGTAGCTCACGTGGTAAAAGCAGCTATCCCGGGGGGGTAACTTTAGAGGTAGCTCACATGGCATGAGAGGAGGTCGTGGTGGTGGCAGAGATGGTAACTTTAGAGGTCGTGGTGTTGGTGCTGGTAGTCAAGGAATGGTCAAAGAATGCAGCTACTGTGGAAGTGAAGGACATACCGTGAAATACTGTTATGATCTACATGGCCCACCATCTACTTGGGCCAATCTTCTGCTTTAGGAACTAGGAAAAAGAAGGAAATGGTCTCCATCACCCGAGAAGAGTATGATAAACTGTCTTTCCTCCTCTTTCCCCAGTAATACTACAACTCTTGCAAAATCAGGTACAACATGTCTTGTTTCCTCTTCTAAACCATGGATTATTGATTTTGGGGCTTCAGATCACATGATTGGGTCCTCAGATCTATTTACATCTTTATCCCCTCCCTCCACCGCCTAGTCGGTTACTTTAGATGATGGTACTACCTCTCTTGTTTCTAGTAACGGTTATGTAACTTTATATTCTGGTTTAACTTTGCTTCGGTGCTTTATGTTCCCATATTCCCATTTAGCCTTATGTCTGTTAGTAAGTTGACAAAGTCCTTAAACTGCTCCATCTCATTTTTTCCGTCCTATTGTATTTTTCAGGATCTCGAGACAGGGAAGACAATTGGTGGTGGGCATGAAGCCGGAGGATTGTATTATCTCGATTTAACTTTGCTTCGGTGCTTTATGTTCCCATATTCCCATTTAGCCTTATGTCTGTTAGTAAGTTGACAAAGTCCTTAAACTGCTCCATCTCATTTTTTCCGTCCTATTGTATTTATCAGGATCTCGAGACAGGGAAGACAATTGGTGGTGGGCATGAAGCCGGAGGATTGTATTATCTCAATGGTGGTGGATCACAAACAGCTCTTCATTCTTCTGATACACCGCTGCAATGGCACTTTCGGATGGGTCATCCATCTCTTCTAGCTCTCAAAGAGTCTTATTCCAGATATGGTGTTTATTCGTGAGTTACAGTGTGAAGTTTGACAGCTTAGTAAACATCACTGTGTCTCTTTTATTCCAAAGGAAATTACTAGAGTCTCGAGTCTTTTTGGACTGGTTCATTCAGATGTTCGGGGTCCTTGTCTAGTAGAGTCTTACAATGGTCTTAAGTATTTTGTGTCCTTTGTTGATGATTTTTCAAGGATGACTTGGATTTATTTAATGAAATCTCGTACTGAAGTGTTTGATATATTTCTATCCTTTTATACTGAAATTCAGAATCAGTTTGGTATCTTGATTAAATATTTTCATTCTAACAATGCAAAAGAATATTTTCAACAACCGTTTTGTATATTTTTTGAATCTCATGGCATTATACATCAATCATCCTACTCCACTACTCCACAACAAAATGGAGTGGCTGAGCGGAAGAATAGACATCTTCTTGATACTGCTCGGGCACTTTTAATTCAAATGTCGGTTCCAAAAAAATATTGGAGTGATGTTGTCCTCACCTCTTGCTTCCTTACTAATCAAATGCCATCTTTAGTATTACATGGTTCTTCTCCCTTCTTATTGTCTTTCCTTCTCAATCTTCGTTCCCTTTGCCTCTGTGTGTCTTTGGTTATGTCTGCTTTGTTCATCATCCAGGTCCCAGTTTGGATAAGTTGGATGCTCATGCTCTTAAATGTGTATTTTTGGGGTATTCTCGGACCCAAAAAGGGTATAAGTGCTACAGCCCTTCTCTTCGTCGCTCCTTTGTTCTTCCTGATGTGACCTTCTTTGAGAATATTCCCTTCTTTTCCTCAGCAAAGCCTATGCCTCTTGATAACTTATCCCCACCTCCTCTCCCCTTACCAATGGAGGAGGTGTTTGTTCCTACTCTGGTTGTTCCAGAGCCAATGCAACCACCAATCCATAGAGTGTATGCTCCCAGTCCCTATGGTATCGTGTTTCAGCCAACTCTAGCTTCGCCTCAGCCATCACCGGCTTCTCCGTCGATGGATCAGTCTCAGTTAGATCTTCCCATTGCCCTTCGTAAAGGTAAGCATGCTTGTACTGAACACCCTATATCTCGTTATGTTTTGTTTGATCATTTATCTCCATCCTATCGGAACTTTGTGTCCCTTCTCTCCTATGTGTTTGTTCCTAGATCTCTTCATGATGCCCTTCTCTCTCTAGAATGGAAGAGGGCAATGGATGAGGAACTTCAGGCTCTTCAATCTAATCATACTTGGGACCTCACTTCTCTTCCTCCAGTGAAGAAAGCAATTGGTTGTCGATGGGTGTACACTGTTAAACATCT